TGCTTGTTGTTGTTGTTGTTGTTGTTGTTCTTGTTGTTGTTGTTGTTGTTGTTGTTGTTGTTGTTGTTGTTGTTGTTGTTGTTGTTGTTGTTGTTGTTGTTGTTGTTGTTGTTGTTGTTGTTGTTGTTGTTGTTGTTGTTGTTGTTGTTGTTGTTGTTGTTGTTGTTGTTGTTGTTGTTGTTGTTGTTGTTGTTGTTCGTTGTTCTTGTTGTTGTTCTTGTTGTTGTTCTTGTTGTTGTTCTTGTTGTTGTTCTTGTTGTTTTTAACAAAGCCCGAATCAGACAATGCTCTGTTGTGATCACCCTACTTGATCTGAAGAATGCTTTCGGCAAAGTCCACCACAACCTCATCCAATCAGTACTCGACAACCACCACATTTCTTGTTGTTGTTCTTATTGTTATAACAAAGCCCGAATCAGACAATGCTCTGTTGTGATCACCCTACTTGATCTGAAGAATGCTTTCGGCAAAGTCCACCACAACCTCATCCAATCAGTACTCGACAACCACCACATACCAGAACACTTAAAATTCGTTATAAAAAGTTTATACACTGATTTTCAAACCTCAATAATTACCTCCAAATTCCACACCCCTTTTATATCTGTTGGCCGTGGCGTATTGCAAGGAGATTGCCTCAGTCCTCTTCTTTTCAATATGTGTTTTAATACTTTCATCCAACATATCAAAGCTGAAAAGTATCGTTAGTTTGGCTTCTCCTTCAAGCTATTAAATCCTGTCCACTGGTTCCTGTTCGCTGATGACGCAGCCGTAATCACTGGCCAAGAATCTGAAAACCAGCATCTCTTAAATCGTTTTTCCACCTGGTGCCAATGGTCCAATATGATTATCAGAGTCGATAAATGTAGTACCTTTGGTATCAAGAAAACCATCACAAAATCAGTCCAATATTTGCCGAAACTCCTCATCAACAATAATCTGATACCAACAATAAAGATTGGAGAAGCATTTCAATATTTAGGACGTTACTTTGATTTTAATTAACATGTCAAATAGTAACCATAAGACTGAACTAACCACTCTCGTTAATGAACTAATGACTGGTATTGACTCGAAGCCACTCCACCCAAG